ACACAAACCAATTTACTTCACCAGACGAAGCTGCTGTGTTGACATGGCGGCCCAGGCTCACGCTCCCTCTCACGGCCAACACAATGCAACACTTTTACCTTACATTTGATAATTAAATACTCTAAAAATTATAAAATTACTATATAATATTATTAATTACCTTTAATTGCGTAAATGTTGTCTGTGTGTTCTTCACCACTAATGTCTTCATAGTTTTATATAAGGCCTCCCTCAAGGGCCGCAGGATACTCCTCACTAAATGAACCGAGAAAAATAATGACAACTTAATTATTTTCTTGACGATAATCACATTATCAATACTTTTGGAACCATAGTTTTTTGTGTGTATGTATTTAGATTTATTTTACTCATATCTGACCCTCATTTTTTGGGGCAAATGGGCGAATTTTGTAAAAAAATATATTTTTTTTTCTCTAAAAGATTCACCCGTTTGTACAATAAATTAAGGTCATTCTTGCTGTTTATCCCAAATTTGCTAGCCCATACTGATTAGTCTTCAATTAGAATATGACTCCAATGTATGTGATCCACTGACCTATATATGCTGCTGGTGAATGTGATGTATTTCCTTCTTTGTGTATGAACCTCTGTCCTGCGTGGCAGTGAACAGTGGCATTACCCACATGAATCTGACCTATATATAGTGTCAATGAATATGATGCATTCTTTGTGTACGAACCTCTGTCCTGCGTGGCAGTGAACAGTGGCATTACCTTTTACTTTTACTTTTATCCTCTTCGCCACTGATCGGCCCGCTTGCCGCCCGGGCGATCGGTCACGTCTCTGTCACGCACTGTTGGCAAATACTGGGCATGCACCGGCTCCTGAATGTACCTGAACCCGCTCCAGTGTTGGTCAAGTCTTCTCTTGAAAGAGCTCACACTCGGTGCCGTCACAACACTCTCTGGTAGATTGTTCCAAGAGTTTACAACCCTCACTCCGAAAAAGTTTGCCCTCACGGTTTTCTGGACTTGCAGCTTCTTCAATCTTGAGCTGTGACCCCTTGTGGGGCGAGCGTCCGCCAGCTCCAAGTAAGGACACTCAACTGAGTAGTGCCCCCTGAGATGCTTATAAACCTCAACTAGGTCCCCCCTTGCCCGTCTGTAGTATAAGCTAGGCAAGTTCAGGCGCTCCAATCTCTCAGGGTAGCTGAGGTGCCGAAGTGCAGGCACCAGTTGGTGGCCCTCCTTTGAACATTTTCAACCAACTGACAGTCCCTAGCATATCTCGGGGACCAGATGGGGTGACAGTACTCCAGATGGGGAAGCACTTCACTCCTGAAGATCGTCACGAGGGACGGACCGTCTAGATATCTGAACGACCTTCTTATAAGACCCAATAATTGATTTGCCTGATTTACCTTCTTCTCACAATGGCCCGAGAACTTCAGCTCATTGTCAACATACACACCTAGGTCCTTCTCACACACAGTCTCAACTAGTACATTTTCTTCATCCCGTTGGGACATATGGTACGCCCCAGGTGCATCCTCTTACACTTCGTGACATTGAATCTCAGCAGCCATTCCTTCGACCATTCCTGGAGCCCACAGAGGTCCTTCTGCAGCTCTTCACAGTCCGCTTGGTTCTTAATTTCCCGAAATAACTTGCCATCATTGGCAAACATTTGTATGGAGGAGTGTACAACGTCAGGCATATCATTTATGAAACAAACCTATATATAGTGTCAATGAATATGATGCATTCTTTGTGTATGAACCTCTGTCCTGCATGGCAGTGAACAGTGGCATTACCCACATGAATCTGACCTATATATAGTGTCAATGAATATGATGCATTCTTTGTGTATGAACCTCTGTCCTGCGTGGCAGTGAACAGTGGCATTACCCACATGAATCTGACCTATATATAGTGTCAATGAATATGATGCATTCTTTGTGTACGAACCTCTGTCCTGTATGGCAGTGAAAAGTGACATTACCCACATGAATCTGACCGACGTATATGTATGTATGTGTGCATGTATATGTACGTGTACATGTATATGTGTATGTATATACGGATATGTATGTATATGTGTGTGTGTGTGTGTGTGTGTTTACATATATGTATATGTACTGTCAATGAATATGATGCAACTCTTTGTGTACGAACCTCTGTCCTGCATGGCAGTGAACAGTGACATTATCCATATGAACCTGACCTATATACATTTATAGTTGTTAATGAATATGATGTATTTCTTTGTGTGTGAACCTCTGTCCTGCGTGACAGTGAGAAGTGATACCACCCTCAGTGTCAAGACCTGACTGAATTACTCAGAATAGGCAAACTGTACTACAAGCCCTGCCAATAAATTTGTTAAACTAAAAAAAGGTCAGTTTTGAATAAAGCAAATCTAAATATATAAGAACCTAACCTCACCAAACTGCCCACAATGCTGATCCCCTTCAGAGCTCCTAAGACAAAAGTTCTAACACAATAAATATTTCCTTAATGCACAAATTATGCCATTATATAAAATAAACAATAATAGAGGAGGTTTTTACTATCAACTGGAACACCGACCATTACAACCCATTTCTTCCACCCACTGACTTACCATCATAAAGAACTTTACTGTACATCACTGAATTACTTAATTTGTCAGCACTGGTGTGACTATTGTTCATTATAATCAATATTATGTTGCCATCAGCCGAGTGTTTGATGCAGCAGCACCAATGAATCTGTTTCAGTTGCACAAGTTGGGTTTGTTAAGGAGTTATATAAGAAACTAAGGAGTCTGCAATAGGCCGGTTGGTCTGTGCATGGCAGCTCCTGTCGAGAGTTACTACCACTCTCTATCATCCATGAATCTATCTAGCCTCCTTTTAAAACTTTCCAGCATTCCAGCACTTACTACAAATTTGGTAAGCTTGTTCCACTCGTCCACCACCAGTTCCTTCCTATCTCCCTCCCAAACCTCAACTTATGTGTTTATTTTTCTGGTCCCCGAGGTTATACTAGAGACTGTCGGTTGATTGAAAACGTCTAAAGGAGGACCACCAGATTGGTGCCTGCTCTACAGAACCTCAGTTACCCAGAGAGATTGGAGCGCCTGCAACTACCCAGCTTATACTACACACGGGCGACCTAATCAAAGAGTATAGGGGACACTACTGGGTTGAGTGTACATACCTGGAGCTGGCGGACGTCTGCCCCACAAGGGGTCACAGCTCAACCTTGAAGAAGCCACAAGTCCAGAAAACTGTGAGGGCAAACTTTTCCGGCGTGAGAGTTGTGAACTCTTGGAATACTCTGGGCAAACTTTTCTGGTGTGAGAGTTGTGAACTCTTGGAATACTCTGGGCAAACTTTTCTGGTGTGAGAGTTGTGAACTCTTGGAATACTCTGGGCAAACTTTTCTGGTGTGAGAGTTGTGAACTCTTGGAATACTCTGGGCAAACTTTTCTGGTGTGAGAGTTGTGAACTCTTGGAATACTCTGGGCAAACTTTCCTGGCGTGAGAGTTGTGAACTCTTGGAATACTCTGTATGAGAGTGTGTGATTATTCTCTTAATACTTATATAAGTTAGTTTGTCTCCCAAATTTGCCCTGGGAACAGGTCACATTTACGAGGAACATCACTCATGTAAAGTGGCAACTTGACAGTTATTTCCTATATTATAATAAACAAGGTTAAAAGAGCACTGGGATTTATCAGTACTTTATTTATTACGTTTGTAACAGGATGGTGCCACATCATACAGTGTGTGAGGTAATAATGAGCGAGGTACTGTAAACAATGGTCCACAGATGATGAAACAAGCCTGTGGGTGGTGAAGCTTTACTCTATTATGTTGGCTGCTTCTGTACTGTACGTATATAATTTTATATTGTTTACTGTAGTACTGTACTGTATCTATCTATAAAAGTACACATTTTATATTGTTTACTGTAGTACTGTACTGTATCTATCTATAAAAGTATACATTTTATATTGTTTACTGTAGTACTGTACTGTATCTATCTATAAAAGTTTACATTTTATATTTTGGCTTAAAATCTACTACAGTTCTGTACTGAGGACAGTCATACACACTCCCAATGCACCAGAGCCGGCCAGTGTACATCATGTCAGCCTACAGCCTCCATGGCCAAAGGCAGTGCACATCATGTCAGCCTGCTGCAGCAGCAGTAGGCCTATCAGCAGCAGTAGCACCTGCCAGCAGCAGCATCAGACACCAACTGAGGCAGGCTGGTATTATACAGACGTTTCACTGTACAGTATACTCTTAATACATGTGGTTAAAAACATACAGATAATCTATTAATACTGTACTGTATTAATGGAAGAAATATGATGGTCAAGTCTCCATTACAACAGGGTGCTTATGGAGATGGGTTCTTGCTAACAACAAAATCCGTCAAATTGATAAGTAATTCCTCTCATATTCTACTGAACTATTTTCTTAGATAATAACAAAATAATTATTAAATGTTCTAAATGGGTCATAAACTTTAGAGATACTTTCCTTATCCGACACAATTGTAATCATCACTGCTGCAGTAGTATTGGCAGAGCTACTCATATATTTTTTCCAGTGTTGCCTAAAAGTTTTGAATGATAGAACACTGCGACCTAACAACACACACACACACCGTCCCATTTGTCCCGTGTATTTTTTAAAGAAATAAATGGTGTTGTCACAGCACACTCCCTGTACTACACATAGCATTTACAGAGTTCAGTAATTTTGAAGCAATAATAAATATGTGCGATATAAATGCCACACCCTGTCTAGATCTTTGTCCTTCTTAACTGCCATGTTTGGTACTGCCACACCGTCTTAGATCTTTGTCCCTCTTAACTGCCATGTTTGGTAGTGCCACACCCTGTCTAGATCTTTGTCCTTCTTAACTGCTGTGTTTGGTAGTGTCACACCCTTCTGACACGTGTCCCGGGCAGGGGATTAAACCCAGGCCACAGTAGTGAGGCATACTATACATACATTCCTTGGTGATCATGAAACACAGCATCAATATCATAATCTTTTATTTCCAGATTTCAATCCCTATAAACAACCTTCACAAGTTAACAAGGAAGTTGCTACAATTTCCATTATTATTCACACTATAAATTAACCCATCCAAACAAGTACTGTACTACTCTATTTAATTACTGTATTTATTCTGTACACAAATTTCCAAGATTTCAAAGGGCTATGTTAGTCTGTAAAATGGTCAGTGTTAAATAAGTACCAGAAACAACACTGCCGATCTATTTATATTCTTAGCCAATGTAAACGAACCTGACCTAACCAACCACAGGCTTGTTATGTCAGTGTCGCCATCTACTGTCAAAAAATATAATCACGTTAAGATTAGCCAACCTAGATTATTTCACTTATAATTAAACACCCTAACAGTATCTGGTGGAAGGGGGGAGGGGTGGGGGGGTTGGCTTAGGTTAGGTTAGGGCGAGGTGGGTTAGGGTAGGGTGAGGTGGTGTTGGGTCAGGGTGAGTTAAGATGAGGTTAGGGTGGGTTAGGTTGAGGTGAGGTGAGCTTAAGATAGGTTGGGTTAGGATGCTCAATATTAAGGTGAAACAAGCTGAGAGGAGACAATCTTTCAGCAACCTCTTAAAACACATCAATGGCAGTGTTCCCAGTACTATACACTGATCACCTGACACACCCTGTGCTGCTGGGCGAACAATAAGAGAGAACTGCTACAACACTGAGACAACACCAACAGGTGACCCACACACTTACATTAAGCCTCCGTCCACCATAACAGAGCCTCGCCGGAAGGTTCAACTTATATATAATAGGGAGAGGACTTTAACCCCTACCGTGAAGACAGTAATTACAAAGTATTAGTTCACTATTTACATAACTTAATCACAAGAGAGGAATGTTTAGACTTGGCTTAAGGTTCTATTAGTAACTTCATCTGGGTGCCTTAAGTCTCAACCAAAAGGGTATGTAAGTAATTCATTCCTTTACATCCAATTGTAATGTATTAATTTTAAGCCAATTATTTTATCAATTCTCTTTTAATAACTCAGAGGGAATTTTACAATGATGATCACACAACTATCATAAGTCTAAAAGCTGCCACAAATAAGTCCACCAGTTTTATGCCGTCTGAAGAGAGATGACGGGAACTAAACCAAACTGACCAATCGTATGGTGGTTTAGGTTTGGGTTGGTCGGTGTTACCCGAGGAATCAAAATTCAGCACAGTGGCCAGACTTGTGGCATCTTTTAAACATTCAATATTTCCCATAATAATCTCAAAGTTGTGCTGCCATCAGTAGTTGTGTCCACCTGAACTCACAGGCATAACAACTATGTATTATAACACTTGACTGCATCATCTGAAGTGTCCACGCCCCTCTGTAATGTTGTGCTTCTAACCTCCAGTCGTACGGAGCGTCTTACTTACGTCACCCAGACGACGGCCGTAAACCGTCTTAGTTATCGAATTTGCGGTTGGGGTTTGCGCCAAAGAGCATAGCACGGATCTCTGGAAGCATCTGCTCGGACAACATCTCCAGACGGGCCTCCAGGGTGTTGGAGATCTTGATACGATTACCGTTGGTCACCAGTTCAATGCCTCCACAACTGTTGAAGGAATATAATAATTATCCTTAACCATCACAAGTACAGTGGGGTATGCTATAACGAACGGATCCTACTACGAATATTCCTATAACGAACGGTTTTACCTATAAAATTGAGAATGCTATAACGAACGAAACTCCTACAACGAACATTAATTTAATTTTTTTTTTTTTTCTAATTTATTGTTTTTTTATTACAAATATTAATGATATTCTTTATTTCAGGGGTTTAGATGCATATTTATGCACTTTTTTACAATTTTTACAATTTTATATTATATTTTTCAGTGTTAAGTGGTTGTATTTGGGGGCCTGGAACGGATTAATCCTATAACGAACGAATGCTATAACGAACAAGGTTCTAGAACCAATTAGATTCGTTATAGCATACCCACTGTACAAAGGTTGTGTCTTAACTAATGTTTATAAGTTAGATATGATGAGTCGTGATGTTTAGGAACCCCAGATTATGATTCAACACCTTAATGCTAAATGATGGGTTAGGTTAGGTAAGGCTAGGTTAGCATTAGGGTGTTTAATCAACAGGTGAAACAAGATGGGGTTCCTAATCTTCATGAGATCTCATATAACTTTCAACTGGTCACTGGCTCTAGTTCACCTCCTGGCAATCTCAGGTTCAATCCAAACGGAGGGCAAGTTTTTGTCGAGCTAAACGTACTAAATTACATTCTCCCGGAAGTGTTATGCCGGTACACAACTCACCGAGAGATATATTTACAGTTTGTGTTGAATAATTTACTCACATATCAGCAGGAAGCCAATTATTGGTGTCTATCTCCAGTTTGCTGTCCCTGCCGGAGATATTTTTGTAAACTGTCAGAGCTCTGACGATGGCCTGCTCCACCACGGTCTGATCCGCTCGCCGGCACCTTACCGTGAGGTGTGGCTCCAACATCTGAGGATCATTTACAACATTATAATGGTAGGTCACAACGCGCCAACCATGAGAGACAATGTGATGGGATTTGTCTACACGATTAGCCGGGGTGTATTGTCAGTATTACAGTTAAGGTGAGGCAGTACTAAAAAAAAAAAAATGCCAAGTTATGAGGCACCACATGAACCAGGATATGAGGTGTCACACATACAAGGTTATGAGTCGCCACACACACCAGGATATGAGGCGACACATACCAGGATATGAGGCGACACATACCAGGATATGAGGCGCCACACATACCAAGATATGAGGCAACACACACAGCAGGATATGAGGCGACACACGTACCAGGATATGAGGCGACACACGTACCAGGATATGAGTCGACACACGTACCTGACACAATCCCTGGCACAAGAGGTCCTCCAGTAGCTTGCTGTAGGCCGCATGATCCTGAGAGATGGGGTTCAATTTATGCTGAGCCTCGTACAAGACGTTCTTGATGTGTGACTCTTGAGCCTTGAGCACCTCCAGCCTCGACTTGTTCAACAGGTTACTTGCACCACTGAGAGTCACATACAATACATCAACACCTTCTTGGTATAAAGTATATTGGGTGTGCTAATGGTAAATAATTCCAATCAATTAGGGAAAACTGTCAAGTACTCTTAAGCTTCTTTTATACATCATGACCTACGGTGACTGTGTGTAGGTAATGTACCATGACCATATAACCTCATATAATGTACTGTAAAGGTCAGTCATCTTGCACACACACACACCACGACCTCATCTGCAAATTTGGTGAGAAGCTTCTGCACCATCCTCGACACCAGCTCCTACTTCCACCCAAGATCCCTCGCCCGAGAATTGCTGTTGAACACCACAACCGCCCTACGAGCACGAACTGATCGCTATATGAACAGCCCAGTCCCAAACATTGTAAAAATTATCAATAACTTGTAATCAACCAGTGTATTCACTCCCAGTCAATCTTACCTTTTTGCACTGTCACTATGTTGAACTGCCCTGTAGTATGACCTAGTTATCATATTTGTATCACTTATGTTACTTGTATATTATTTGTAAATCAAGTGACCCATTCACCAATTATCTAACTGTATATGTTCAACCTTGCTTCAATGAACCATAAACTATTATTATGATTACACACACACACACACATTCAACTCTGCATACAAAATTAATACTGTAGATATATTTGTTCAATTTATGGATGTGGGATTTTATGTCCAATTCCTACATTTGTTTTTAATTGTAAGTCCCAAAGTCCTGCTTCTGATCTACACCATGTACAGTACAGGTCAGCTGGAGGTCACGGCTTTGTCATGTCTGTAGAGTCTGTCAATGACACTTAGGTTATGTTACTTTATACTGGACAAATATAAATAAATCCCACATTGGCTTATCCTAGACACGGTCCACTCTTCACAATGTCCCAGTGTGTTATAATAACCTTCATGGCATCCTGGGAAATCCATTACCATTATAGTGAGCAATTACCAACCCACCAGAGTCCAGCATCACTACTACTGTATACTAACTGTATTTACCAGTGGCCAATGCTCACTGCTCAGACCTTTTTTTTCGTTTATTCATCTTAAATCATAAATTTACATTTATACTCTAAAGTGCAGCCTAGAGCTTAGTAACAGCACTGTGTAAGGGAGCGAGGTCGGGGCTAGCTCCTCTCCCAAGTGCATCGGTAGGTGCCGTTTCGCCTCGATGAAAGCCTACGCGCACAGCTCGCTGACGTCACAGTCATACCACGGTGAAATGGAAGATATGATGTGCCAGGCCGTGGAGCTCCACCCACGAGTCCGTGTGGGTCGTGCGTGTTGTTTACATTCTTCCGCTGGTGCGTGTTGTGGTGCTTCTGCTACCCGAGTGTTATAGACTTATAGTGTTATAAATATTCTACTTGCGATGGAAACTGTGGTAGAAGAGGACACTTGTTTAGTTAAGGAACTGCTGGAAAAGACGTTTTAGAGAAGAAACATTTCTGAGAAAATTGAAATCGTAGGAAAACGCAGACCATGTCCAGGACTTACAAAGATGCATACAGATAAAAACAAAGAATATGTTAGGCATTTTCATATCACGCAGTACGAAAGCACGCATTGGTTGACTGGCTAAGTTAATAATACAATGGCATGAACAGGCCTACTTGAGAGCATTTATTATCATATTATCTCAAAACAGTATTTAATGTTAAACCACCTAGGTACAGCACCCCCCGCTCTAAAAAATAGAGAGCATGATCAAGATCTTAGGTCAGGATTCGCCACTGGTATTAACCATCACACACTGTAGACCTTGTGTCACACTCACTACACCACACCACCACTGACTCACATCTTCTTCTGCAGCTCTACTTGCTTCTCCTTGCGTTCATAATACTCAATAATCTTGAGGCGGTTCTGCTGCACCAGTCGACCTTTCTCAATGGTAAACTCTTCTTCTGCCCGAGCATCAATTTCTTCTGCTTTCTCATTGGCCTCCTGTTCAATGAAGGCCATCATATGGTGGATCTGTAACAACAAACAATATTAAAGCATCTGGCAGGCATTGTTGTGCTCAAGTGAACTAACCGGGTCCCAGGTTAACAGGCCATCTAACAAAAGCATTCGGTTTATTTGCTTTTAATTGCCCCGCTCCACTAGGACAACGACCTGACCTGACCTAACCAAACAGACATGACCTCCAGGATCCTCTTAACTCACAGGTGAAGAATCCTCAGCTGCCAGATTCTCAACAAGAAAAAATAACAAAATAAAGTGGGCGACAGTCTCACAGTTCAGTGCCGCTGAACACACAGATGACTGCAGACTTACGTTAATATCCATTTGTGACGGAAGTGATATTAGAAAAATATGTTCCTATCAACAAGATATAACCAAGTTGTGGCTGATACTGTAATAACACCTAGGCTGGGTTATGTTAGGTCAGATGACTCGTTTTTGTTTTCTCCCCCACCCAAAACCCCGATTTCTCTGACTCCCCTCATTATTATTGGGGGGAGGGGGGGACGATCAATTTCCGCCCAAAATAAAGGTCAGATTCGTTTAAAACTCACCAAAATACACTGGATAAACATACCTTGTTAACCCATAGGGACTCATCTAAAGTAAAATTTTACCCTAACTTTATCTAACCTAACCCCTAGACGGGGGCTCCGCTCCCGGACCCCCAGTAGCCAAGCTTAAACTAACCTAAATGTTTCAGTAGTTTAAAACTTTGGGGCGCACCATGTCCTAAAGTACAATACCTTAGTCAGAAGTGGAAGGACCAGGGATACGTAAGAATGGACGAGTTAACGGTTCAGGGTAAACACAAGAAATACACTGTGCCGCGTTCCAAGAGTGATACGGGACATATAATTTGTTTAAAGTCCTGCTATAGTAGTCGAGATAAATAGATTTCTCTGGAAACGGCCGCCATTTGCAGTGACGTCACCAACTACCCTGCAGGCGACGTACAGATGTAGATACAGGTTAATTGACAAGTAATGACATTGTCTGGACATTGTTTTGATGATTCACTAATGAACCACTGGGACATATCATCATTTATATTAATTAATGGGTGAAATTTGACTTTAACTACCAAAAGTATATTGATGTTTAGATTCGAGATAGGCAATATTGGGAAAGTTTTAAGTTTTGGTCGTCCCTGTACTTAGATATACAGAGTAGTCAGACTATATTTTTTTTCTGATGGTTTGCGATGTGTTATGAATGATTTGGACTTTCACTTCTATCGGAAATCACCAGTTTTGAGTTACTACCCCTCCTTACCGATGACCTGTATTTCCTAATGCAATCAAAAAATGTTTTGAGAACAGAAAACCTGTACAGATAATGTGTCTTACTGTCTAAAGTACTTAATCCCATAGTTAAAACTTAAGGATCCCCCAGATGACCAAAACCAAAATAATACCAATAATGTTTGAAATATTTATACTATGAAATTTGTAGTAGGGGCAGCAAATATCCATTGAATTAGTTAATGTGCTTAGTAATATTTATATATTCAAAATAGTATTACTGTGTTGCACAGTAAAGCACAATTAATTATCTAATAAAATTTATTTACAGAGCCGATCAGCCGAGAAGGACGGACAACTACCTCCAGGGTTCATCAAGGCAGAGGAAAGAAAAATTACCAAGAGTAGACGTCTTTATGACTGTAGAGTATTATCAAGAACTCCGCCATCCAGCCATGAAGCACGTTAAATTACAGCTGTCATCTGACCATTCCCTGGCCATGATCGTCCCTAGTCCTCCCACAACAGTGAAGAAAGCTTCTCTGTTGGAGTTGCCTGTCTTGTGCATCACTGCGGCAGCCAGCGAGTAAATACACACCATGATACTTGAGCAGTAATTTATGTTAACCTAACAATAATGTATGACAGTGTACTGTATATGGCCACAAGTCTGCTGGTAACAACACACACACCACAGCTGGCCGGGCGGCTCGAACTAGTCAGTGACGTCACGACCAAACAGAACTTTTCACAGTCACGTGACTTTTTACCAACTTTAACCCTTATTTGGCCCAACTTATTTAAAGAATCATCACCATAGTGAACGTAAGCTCGTTCTTTACCCGCCGACCTGCCATCTTACCAAAGAAGTCCGACCGTCAACTCGCCCATTGGATAGAATGATCGTCTTTCTCGTAAAACTTAAAATAATCGTACGAGCGCAGATGACAGCCAACCTCCACCACGGCCATTGTCAGAATGGTCAATGAAATTACCCCGGGCCCCAGGCTGCTTCCTTTGAAAAAAATCAAATGTAATTGGTCGAAAAAAATTTGGGTGATGATATCAATAAATCATCGGTCACGACTGAATGACGTCGGTCAACTTTGCCCGTGTGTGATGCACCGATAACAAAGATAACATTGTGTCGCCATCATCCATTTCCGCCAGGTATATATGGGGTTCAAAATGCTCAGAATAGTGAGACGTAAATGTTTCAGTAACCATAGGGGGCGCTGTGTGACAATACCCCAGGAATAACCCCTAACGTAAACCTAACCTAGCCTGGTCAGGTGGCGTCAGGGTGACTAATCATCAGGTGAAATAAACTATGGTGTATAATCTTCAGGTAATTAACAAAAACTAAAACCAATATTAAATAAGACAACTCTAGTCAGTCTTAGCCCCGACTCTATCCACCAGACACCAAATACTCTTAACACACTCATATCATCACAACTACTACTAAAACAACTTAAATAACAATTACCAGGCAATAAATAAACTACTGACACAATATAACATAAAGAAGTAGAATATATTAACGATAAAACTGGTTGGTGTTAGACTACTCTCCCCGAGGCCTCATCACATTAACTACCAATCAATAGTTGTATATGACCATAACTCACCTGTTTCTGTACGTCAGCATCACTCAGCGCCATTCTTGCGAGATATTCTCTTAACAACAGAGAGGAAGGAGGACCAAACAGCGGTCAGGTCGATGATGAGCAGACAACAATCATATGATGAGGGGGGAGTCACATCAACACCTTATATTGAGATAAAACTAATAAATAAATATAAATAATAATATATTATCTTAATATTATAAAATTATTTATATATAATACGTATTTTATTATGTAGTTTTAATTTTTTGTTTATATTAAGTTGATATAAGTTTGTTTAAGACAATAGTGTCTCGCATCACGGGACCAGACTAGTAGTATCCAACACCTTATGGAAGTCTTCAACTCCTTCATCATACACTGATCATGTGCTATTAAATACTCCTTTATTCAACATGTATTAATAGTGTAAAAACTTCTACGAACTTTAGTTAATAAGAACCTAAACTAATATTTTTTATCGTTGTTAAACATTAAACCTGGTGTAGAGATATAGTGTTAAGGAAGAAATGAGCCAAAACTTTATAGTATTAAGGAAGAAATGAGCCAAAACTTTTACATTTGTATTGAAATTAATGTTCATTTTACCTGAACTAAACACAAATATATTGTTAGTTTTCCACATTATCAACCAATAAAAAATAATTCATATTTAATTAATTCAAAATTGATCTCATATTTACATTTTTATAAAGAAAATTACCGAAAACTTCTGAGGAGTTTTTGAGTTTCTTATTCTTGAGGAACTTAATGAACACAACAACAACAACAACGGCCGAGGGAGATGGTGGACGACTCAGTAAACAATAGTTAGTTTCTCCACCAGTAGACCTCTATGAAGCATTAACATAGTGATCAAGGGTGAGTTAAGCCTTATATTAACCTTCGTGAGTCTTAATATTAGTTGTTAATTAACGTTAGGTGGAGAGAGACGTAGGACTTGAAGCCTCGTCAACACTCCTTCATTTGATGTGTTTGTTTAGATGTTGTTTCACGAGGTAAGAAATGTTTTATGTTATGTTTTATGTTAGGTAATAAGGCCAGACAATCTCGTCCTGTAGTATATCTCCCCGGAAAACATTTTATTATCTATTAATTAAACACTGAGAACAAATTGACTATATGGGAGAGTACAGTCCTTTATATCGAGGTCCAATAGACTGTTGTTCATTAAAATGAGGGTTTCACTTCTAATAGACCCTCGATGTAACGGACTTTCCTCCATATAGTCCGTTAAAAAGAGGTTTCACTGTACACCATTTAGTATATTTGTGTTTTATTGTAGACTAGGGTAGGGTACAGTAGGGTAGGGTAGGGTACAGTAGAGCAGCAGCAACATTAAAGGAAGGTCTTAGTATTTCTGAACACTGTACTGCACTGTGCTGTACTGTACTGTACTGTTTCAGTTCATCGTGGTGACTCATATCTGGTGTTGACAGTCTGGTAATGTCGGCAGGTCATGGCAGGGAAGGCAGGGTCGACGACGGCCAAGCAGGTAGCCGCCGCGTGCCTCAGGCTACCCCCGCTGCCGTCCACGAGCGACCTGGTCAAGCTGTACAACCTCCGGGCGGTGAAGCAGCTCAGCCAGAACTTTCTGATGGATCATAAACTGAGCAGCAAAATAGTTCGTAAGAGCGGCCGCATCCGAGACTGTCATGTGTGTGAGGTCGGGCCGGGGCCGGGCGGCATCACGCGCAGCATCCTGGAGCAGGGAGCTGCCCGCGTCACGGTCGTAGAGAAGGATCCCAGATTCTTGCCGGTGTTGGAGCTGCTGAGGGACGCCTCCCACGGTAAACTCCACATAGAGCTCGGCGACGTCTTGACTTATAATATGGAGAAGTTGTTCCCGCCGGACCTGGCTCTGCCGTGGGAAGACCGGCCTCCCCGGATTCACCTGATAGGAAACTTGCCCTTTAACGTGGCGACGCCGCTCATTATACGATGGTTAAGAGACATCAGCCTGAGACGTAACGCCTGGGTGAACGGTCGAGTGCGCATGACGCTCACCTTCCAGGAGGAGGTGGTGGAGCGCATGGTGGCCCCGACGGGACACGCCCAGAGGTGTCGTCTGTCTATCATGTGTCAAAACTGGTGTCAGGCGACGCACAAGTTCACCATCCCGGGCCGCGCTTTTGTGCCTAAACCCGACGTCGACGTTGCCATCGCTCACTTTGTCCCTCGCGTTGAGCCCCAGATACCGTTAGAGTTCTGGCTGGTGGAGAAAGTGGTCCGCTGCGTCTTCTCCTTCAGGCAGAAGTACTGCAAGAGGGGCGCCGGTCTTCTCTTCCCCGAGGATCAGCGAGACGAGCAAATTAAAAAGATGTTCGCGGTGGCGGACGTAAACCCCGCCCTCAGACCGTTCCAACTGACAATGTCCGAGTTTAACCGCCTGTGTCACGCCTACGCCGCCATTCTGGAGCAACAACCGTCCCTGGCAAAGTTCAACGTCAGGGAAAGAATCGTTATTGTCGATGGTGCCGACTACGATGACGACAACGGTGGTGTGATAGAGAACATTATGTAACCAATAAAGACGTTGTGTCCTGACTCATATAGATGTGTCCCCCCCTCCCTCACCCCTCTGTGTACTGACTCATATAGATGTGTACTGACTCATAGATGTGTCCCCCCCCCTCACCCCTCCCCCTGGATTGAATGGTGGACACAGGTGTAGTACAGTCTACCAGTTTTTAATCAAATTTCATAGAAAGATACAACTACTTTACATACTGTACTTTACTGTATATATCTAGTATGTATTAATGTATATTCTCTTGATAACGTTTTTAGAATTAGATGAATAAAGTTATTTTTTTGCATCTTTTGTTTTTCTTCGTCTTATTAAACAATTTATGTCCATTTAGATAATTTCTTTGGTCTTTGGCAGGTAGATAGGTAGATAAAGTGAGGGAGAGAGATTGATAGGTAGTAGTTATAGGGATAGAGATAGGTAGATACACTGTAGGTATATAGATAGTTAAAGACAGATAGGTTTGACTAATACAATATATACTTCTGTAGAATGAGTAATACAGGATAGAATAAATTATAAATAAAGTTAAACAATACAATAGGTCTTACTACAGCACTAGTGGCGTGTGTGATCTATGACACACCCTGTACAGTATGGTGTGTGTAACCTATGAGACACCCTGTACAGTATAACACAACCTATGAAACACCCTGTATAACACAACCTATGAGACACCCTGTATAACACAACCTATGAGACACCCTGTATAACACAACCTATGAGACACCCTGTATAACACAACCTGTGAGACACCCTGTATAACACAACCTATGAGACACCCTGTATAACACAACCTATGAGACACCCTGTACAGTATAACACAACCTATGAAACACCCTGTATAACACAACCTATGAGACACCCTGTACACCCTGTATAACACAACCCATGGAGACACCCTGTATAACACAACCTATCCACACCCTGTATAACACACAACCTACCTGAGACACCCTGTATAAACACAACCTATGAGAGACAACCCTGTATAACACAACCTATGAGACACCCTGTATAACACAACCTATGAGACACCCTGTATAACACAACCTTTGAGACACCCTGTATAACACAACCTATGAGATACCCTGTATAACACAACCTATGAGACACCCTGTATAACACAACCTATGAGACACCCTGTATAACACAACCTATGAAACACCCTGTATAACACAACCTATGAGACACCCTGTATAACACAACCTATGAGACACCCTGTATAACACAACCTATGAGACACCCTGTATAACACAACCTATGAGACACCCTGTATAACACAACCTATGAAACACCCTGTATAACACAACCTATGAGACACCCTGTATAACACGAAACACCCTGTATAACACAACCTATGAGACACCCTGTATAACACAACCTATGAGACACCCTGTATAACACAACCTATGAGACACCCTGTATAACACAACCTATGAGACACCCTGTATAACACAACCTATGAGACACCCTGTATAATAAAGTACTGTATTATTTCAGCACAACAACAACCAGCCATTATGGACATCACAACAGAAGATAAATGGGACCTTATCGAGGCTCTGTATCAATACGGAACTGATGTCGAAACCCTCAAAAAGGCTTTACCTGGTTGGTCCAAGTCTCATTTACTGGCTACAGTTAACCGCTATCGCATACGTGCCCGGAAGGTATGGTTTAGTAATTGATGTTCTTCAGAATCTTTACACAAATAGATTAATCTTTATCTAAGGCACATTAATCTTTATATGAGGCAGATTAATCTTTATATGAGGCAGATTAATCTTTATACAAGGGATCTCGTGCAACAAGGGTGAAGTCTTCAATCTGGCTTTTTCCCGTTTTCAGTCAACTCAGTCGCTTGGGTTGATGGTCTACCTGCCATGGTCAAGTGGATGGGTAAAATAGATCATCTCCCACTACTGACCTTACACACAGTTCACTCTCTCACCTTGAACTTAACTCATTCTCTTATCCTCTGCAGGTCGTAACAGATGTGGAGGAGGAGGAGCCTGGTGAGGAACCGCCACTCAAGCGCTGGATCGACATGACAGCAAAACTCCACCAATTGCAAGGCTCTACAAATCAGATCAAGAAGCGTCGGGGTCGTAAACCTCGGAATCGAGTGCACGGTGACCACATGTCACTGATGAGCAAGGTGAGACTGTGTTTGAGGGTCGTTTCTGCAACAAATTCTTCATTTGCCTGTTCTTAGAGAGTGTTTATTAACATTATATTACTTTTATTGTATTTATAATTTCACCAGATAACTGTACATGCCTTTTGGGTGGTTGGTCTGTTGATCAGTTCTTTGCTACTGTGTTATGACCTTCAGTGTTAAACAGGAGGAGACAACCTGCCATGTCTGGTACTGAGGGTCAATCCTCCGTGTTGCAGGTAGTGATGATGATCTTGGTGTTACAGGTAATGATGTATGCTGCTTGTTTCGAGGAACACTATCAGGGGTCAGGGCCAGAGGATCCTAACTACAGTGAAATTTACAGGTGAGTTAGGAGACATCAGGTCATTAACTTAATCCTGTGAAATATCCACAGGTATTTAACTCAGCTGTTGGATATTGTGTACAGGTATTTAACTCAGCTGTTGGATATTGTGTACAGGTATTTAACTCAGCTGTTGGATATTGTGTACAGGTATTTAACTCAGCTGTTGGATGTCATTTACAGGTATTTAGCTCAACTGTTGGAAGGCAAGGAACCAACACAGTTAAGTCCGGGAAGTGCCGCCAAGATGCTACAGATGTTAGACCGGCTAAAGCAGGTCGTGACAGATAACAACTCACAATCACATCTCTATCACCTCCACTTTTTTCCTCTACCATCTAGTGCCTCCAAGGTGAGTATAGTGCCTCCAAGGTGAGTATAGTGCCTCCAAGGTGAGTCTAGTGCCTCCAGGGTGAGTCTAGTGCCGAGGTGTACTGGACTGGTTCGTGGCAGCTAAAGATTCCCGACGTCTTGTTCCGTAAATTTTAGCAATTATTAATTAAAATGTAAATATTAATACTGTATTTACTATTGAATTTGATTGACAACTCTTTTTGGTAGAGATTGAGAGGAGGGGATATATACAAATTGATTCCATTGTGTGTATCTGTCTGTGTACCTCCGATGTTATTTTGTTTCTCAAGTAGAAGATATTTTGAACGCTGTACGGAAAGTTACGCATCGGTGTTGTAGTGGAGAGAATCCCTAATAGTGTTTCAAAGGGTCATAAGACAACATTATTTCCCCGTTATTCTTCTTTCGCTACATTTATATTAATATTCTTCTTTCCACTTTTCAGAATTATATGGCCAATGCATCAGCTGGTGGACCAGTAGCCACTAGCAGGTATGGATTAAATTTGTCCGTCTCTGTAGGTAATATCTGACCATGTGAATACTACACACCTTGGCTTATTCACCTGATTAAACATCCTAATCCAAGCCTAACATAATCTAACCCAAGCATAACATAGCCAAACCTATCCTAACAAACCCAAACATAGCCGAACCTAACCCAAGCGTAACATAGCCAAACACAGCCCTACCTAACCTAACCCCAAACCTAAATTATTGGACCATACATTTACACAGAAGCACAATATATATTATTACTTGATGCCTTGTTGGTGGGTCATTCATGCCTATATCTGGTTCTTAGTCGGTCATTCATCACCTTATTATTACACACACACGCACAGTTATACTCACGAATTACATGAAAGCTCTTGGGAACTTCGTGTTTTCGTTTCATATGTGGTTATCAGCATATACATGGATTACACGTACACAGTGATTTATTTGCATATACAATCACACACACACATATATATATACAGTCACACACACATATATATATATATATAGTCACACACACTACCTTCATTTACCTTGATTCGTTCATACAGGTGTAACATAAAAGCTTTTCTCTGGTGATACTTCTAACAGTAACACCGTAAGTCTTCATTTATTCCTCTAACTTCACACCGTCCACCATCATCATACCTCGGCAACACACCAATCACATTGTGCATATTTTCGTCTTTGTCAATAAATTATTTACATTTCGGGGACCACAGAATGCTCGGATTGTTCACTGTTCGAGATCCCTCTTTATTGATAAGTCGTTTGTTTACAGTTCGGATAATGCAGAGGTCTCAGTCTGTCCGCTGTTCGAGGATACCGAAGAAGAGGTGGATGATGCTGACCTGATGCCCGGGGACCCTTACTATGAGGTCAAGCGCGAGAAGGTCATGAAAAAGGTGAGGGTCGTCGTCGTTACTCTACACCTGGTTTGAGTCATGTTGTTTTTGGTCTCATGATTGGTGTTGCATCCACCACTAAATTCCCACACGACACCACTCAGTCTGACACCATTACCCTCTTCCCAAAACACCACTCACAAGGTATAATTACATGTTAAGTTTTCATAATAAATAAAAGTAAATTTACCATCAAGATAAATTATTGTATACAGTCAACAGGTTATTATTTCTCCCAACAGTTGGAATCTACACAGCTGGAGTCAGCGGCCAAACTGGCGTGTATACCCGGGGCAAACCCTCTAGAGTTCCAAACTAGACACATGGTGAAGCCAGCCATCTATACTGTCAACACAACACATACTGAAGTTATTAAAGAGAGTAATTAAGATATACTTAAGATTAGGTTAGCCTGAAATAGGTTAGGTTGTTAAAGACATCATATTCACACCGAGAGACCAAATCAATAATGTGGTCGAAATAGAATAACTATGTGTTTTGCTTGCTATTGAAATTCTAACTAGCTGTGTAATTACAACTACCAATGAGGCCATGTGATATTTTAACTTTTATGTATCACCTGAAGATTACACCCCCCGCCCCCACCTCAAGTGCTTACTATCTGGGGAAGGTAATCATCAAGGGATTCAGTAAGGCTTAAATTATGAATGTTATTACAGCATTTAAAGTTTCTGGTAAGGAAGTTTTAAGTGGCCTAAGAGAAGTGTTAAGTGATTCTAGTTAAGTGTTAAGTGATCCTAGATAAGTGTCAAGTGATCCTATATAAGTGTCAAGTGATCCTATGTAAGTGTTAAGTGATCCTTGTTAAGTGTTAAGGTCTACTCCTGTATTTTCTCTCGAGACAAATTTAATACATGAACTTTTGAGAATCCATTCTTGTTGTGTCTTTAACCTCTCCGCCAGACTACAGAGCTGAACTGGTACTGTGTATATCCATGAGCAACAAACACCGTCATACACCCTCTACTACACCCACAAAGGCTTAACACACAATAATACACTGGAGTAATGGAAAACTTTATTACCATAATAATATGAAGGATAAGAATAATAATGCCCAATGTGTGTAAAAAAAAAAAGAGGAAAGATCTTAAACGTGGAGCATTATAGTACAATTAATAACAAACCTTTGGTCATAAACAATACTTGTGCTAAACGATCATGAGGTCTTGGGCACGGTTCAGAGGACGAACAGCTGTGGTGGTGTTCTTAGTTCAGGGGATCACACCGCTCACACCGCCGTACAGAGTATTGTAACTCGTGCCGTTCATCTGGGAGTGTGGTAGAGAAGGAAACAGCCACTTGTGTTAACCTTTCCTACCACACACACACACACCTGTTATTAAATTATTGACACTAACACAATTACTACCACACCAATAATTAACTTTGTAATTTTGGTTTTAATTAAGTTGGTGTGTCGTGTCTTAAGTGTCATAACTGTGTTGAGTGCCATAGGGACCTTGTGTTATAACTGTGTCGAGTGTCATGAGCACCTCTAAGCTAAGAACACCATTATAGTGGAAAGACAAACAGGACCACAAAATCCCTTTAATTTATCGCAAGAAAAACAGTAATAAAAGCTACAAACTTAACTATGAAAGACCAACAAAAAAAAAAAAAGGTATATTTATTAAAGCAGCCGACTAATTAATACTTCAATGTGGGACTGCTAAACCTGACTAGACTACACTGTTGCAAAAATTCTGTATTACAAAGATTATCTTGAGTGAAAAAAGCCTGGCAAAGCTACACAAATAATATATACATCAGCAATTAGTTTATATCTTATTATTCACATCCTTTTGTTGGTTTTATTTGTAGAATTTTGTCGGCGAGACGTTCCCATCATCTCATCTGCCGTCATCCACAGTACAGTATAGTTCATCTCCTCGTCACCAAGGTTTGTCTGTGAGAAGAGAAGGTGGCGGTTATATTTGATGCTGAGGACGACATGTGATGGGGGGGGGGTGTTTGTGGGGTATGTGTGTTTAATTTAGCTTAGAACAAAGTTTTATGTACGTGTGTTGATTTTGGGATAGATTAAGATAGAACAAGAATACGATTGGTAAATATGGTTATGTGTGGCTGTGTGTGTGTGTGTGTGTGTAAGAACAAGTTGTTGATGGGTGCTGCCGTGTGTCAAAGTTATCTAAACCCTCGATGAACTCCAGAGAAAACTGAGGTAGGAATAACACACCGACTCTACCTTCAAGAGTACGTCAAGCATAATGATCCCTGTGCTAAATCTTGTTTGTATCTATTATTGAAGTATTACTAACAAAATAATTTAACTTACAAATCTATCATCATTCACTAACTCACCAAATTTAACAACTCACAAATCTATCATCATTCACTAACTCACCAAATTTAACAACTCACAAATCTATCATCATTCACTAACTCACCAAATTTAACAACTCACAAATCTATCATCATTCACTAACTCACCAAATTTAACAACTCACAAATCTATCATCATTCACTAACTCACCAAATTTAACAACTCACAAATCTATCATCATTCACTAACTCACCAAATTTAACAACTCACAAATCTATCATCATTCACTAACTCACCAAATTTAACAACTCACAAATCTATCATCATTCACTAACTCACCAAATTTAACAACTCACAAATCTATCATCATTCACTAACTCACCAAATTTAACAACCCACAAATCTATCATCATTCACTAACTCACCAAATTTAACAACTCACAAATCTATCATCATTCACTAACTCACCAAATTTAACAACCTACAAAGCTCTATCATTATTCATTAACTCACAGACACTTTAATAACACCAAAAATTTTCATCAGTAAATACCAAACAACTTCAAAAATCTTTCATCAAGAGTTAAGCAGCGAAGAATTAAACATATAAATCTACCATCACTCATAATTACAGTAACCCAATCAATTTAACAACATCTCCACCTCCCCTCAGGCAAAGTTCAGTAACTCGCATCACCACATTTACGGAGAGTCACGAGAGAGGTTATATGGCCACCACATTCAGCAGGACGTGCTTGTGTGCCCCCAAGGGAGGATGGTGATCTGCTTAGCCCTAAATCCTGACCTCACCTAACCTGACTTCACTTCAACAGACCAGACCAGACCAGACCAGACCTGACCAGACCTAACCTAATCCTTATTACTCTTGCCACATGTAAGCTGGAGGTGTTTAAGTTCAAGTCATCATACTCTTGGGTGGCTGAGCACTGGCTGGTAGTGTTGCCTCTGTTTAAATACAATGTCTTATAAACAGAATCACTCTTAAGAAAACCTCAGTAATTTTATTGTTTTCCATCTTAAAGTCAAAACTGTGAGAGTTTATTGTTCGTAAATAAGAAAAAAACCAATTGAAATCTGGTTTAAAATGATGTTAAAGACACAGTGCTGGCAGTTCTCCGAGACCATTTGCTTATCCCTGAACTACTATTACACTACCATTAAAATTGTCACTACTACTACAACTACTATTGCTAACTACAACTACTATTACTACAGTACTACTATTACAAGTTATGGATCACTAGACCTCATACCAGCCAACACAGACGTCCCCTCATACAGTGTGGCTCCATCTACAGTGAGGCCCCAGTACTACACTGTACACATGTCTGGTTTATCCATCACACTGTACATCACCGGAGCATAATATCCCACACCAGGCAGGCAGGCACATACACACGTCTCTTGACACACACACATCCCTAAGTGCACACACACGTCCCTTAACACACACACATCCCTAGGTGCACACACACGTCCCTAAACATACACACACACATCCCTAGGTGCACACACACGTCCCTTAACACACACACACACATACACACACTGGAAATATGTCGACGACTCCACCATTGGGATCAGCGTCAACAATTCTGCTCCCGACTATACCGCCCTTCAGGATTTATTGAACAGTCTCCAAAACTGGGCCACCAACAACCATACCAAGACCATGGTTATGCACATCAACCTCTCCTCCGACATTGTCCCAGCTCCTTCCATTACTTTAGGTCCAAACACACTCCAGGTTGTAGATTCCAAGAAGCTCCTCGAGGTCACCATAGACAACAAACTAAATTGGAAACCACACGTCAGTGAAGTTGTCAAATCCTCCAGTTTCCGTCTCCACCTCCTCCGCCGACTCAAGTCCCTCAGAGTTCCTGCATCCGAGCTCCTCAGTGTTTACACAACATTCATACTTCCCAAGCTCACCTATGCCTCCCCTACCTGGTCTTCCTCCCTAAATGCCACACAACGTAAACACCTAGAAAAAGTGCAAAAGAGGGCATGCAAGATTATTCTCTCCCCTTCCTACTCCACATATCAAGAAGCGCTCAACACACACTGATCCTTTCGACTCTCACTGACCATCACCACGACCTCATCTGCAAATTTGTTAAGAAGCTTCTACACCATCCTCGACACCGGCTCCTACTACCACCTGAGATCCCTAGCCCGAGAATTGCTGTTCGACACCACAACCGCATCCAGCCCATACCTGCATGAACTGATCACTATAAGAACAGCCCAGTCCCTACCATTGTAAAAATTATCAATAACTTGTAATAAACCAGTGTATTCACTCCCAGTAAATACTACTTCTTGCACTGTCACTATGTTGAAATGCACTGTAGTTTGAGCTTTTCCCCATCTAGTTATTATATATCTTATTTGTATCACTTATGTTACTTGTATATTATTTGTAATTCAAAACCCATTCCCCAAATATGTAACTGTATATTTTCATCAGCCTTCTGGCTGCCAAGCTCTTTTAATAAACCATTAATTATTATTATTATTATTATTATTATTATTATTATTATTATTATTATTTTTACAGTCTTCGAAGCAACTTGACTTATTCCTAAAGCTGCTGTGTACAATTTCAAAGACAGTCACTTCATTACACAAAGAAGAGTTATGCCAAATTTAAGCTCACAGTCAACATCCAGGTTTTATGTAAGGTTTATCTTGAAGCAACGTTAAAATTTCATAGGAATTCTCAAATAAGTGACTGATTAAATGTGTAAATGCAAGAATAAGGAAATCACTAGGTATTTTGGTGGCCTTCACACACCTCTATGGCTGCCCACTGTGTGAACTGAGGAGATGGTCAGAGAATATGTCTATAAAAGATAATTTTTGTGTGAAATTTGAATATTTAAATGTAATATTTGGAATCTGAAAGTGTCAGACCTGTTCTCCACGACTGTTAACCTTTAATCTGTAGCCAAGACTTCCCTGTTCTTCTCCAGGTGTGTATAAACGGAACCCAGACAAACGTGAAACTTCCACATATAATGGCCGTCGTCGGCATATAGAACGGCCACCATTTAAGGGTCCAAAATCAACCCGACCTAACGTTCCCTCTTTGAGACAGTAAATGTACGAACCTTAATCATTCTTGGCAGCGTCGAAGGCAGCTTTGGTGGCAGCGTCGGCCACTTCGTTGATCTTGTCCGTCACCTTGGACATGGCAGTGTCGATCTCCTTCTCATGCTTGATGAAGGCCGGACGAATCACACGGTTGTAGATCACATCTGAACCATTCCAGGACACAGGCAGGAAACACCAGACCAAGAACATGCACTGTAAGGCAACACAGAGATATACCTTCACCTATATAATTGACACATTTACACACACACACACACACACATGCACACACACACACACACATGCACGCACACACACACACACACAAGCACACACATTTGTACACACACACACTTGCACAACACAGATTAATGGTAAAATCCTAATTACAATTTCGAAATGAAAGAAGATAAGTGACTGATAAATTAATGATTAAAACAACAAGCCTTAACATAAAGATTGATATTAATAAGTTACTGAATGGTGGAAGAGTTAATATAGGTAGAGAAGGGGAGGGGGGGGAGAGAAGAGTAGAGAGAGAGAGAGAGAGAGATTACCCACCTTGGCCAGCCAGTAGAAGGGGAACCAGGAGAGGAGGAGGTCCGAGAAGAACTCACACACGGAGAAGAGAGCAAACACGACCCAGTAAGTCAGCCAGCGTGTGTCATCCTCCTTCTTGAGCGACTCCAGAGCCTGCAATACCACAACAGGTTAAACTAAAACACACAAGACCGCCTCATCGCCCAAACCATCGACTGTGCTTCAAATTCCTCTCTACTCGGATCCAATGATTTATAAAAAAAAAGCATTTCACCGTCTGTGTTATCAATTACATGTGGAATTTTTCTGTGCTTAGGTTCAATACAAGTAATCTGCAGGAAGAATGCGTTAGATTGAAGGGTTTCTTGTTACAATGTGAGGGAAGGATTGTGTGGGTCTTCACTGTGGTACAATTGGATGCAGGTGAAGAGGAATGTCATCTGTGGTTGAGTTAGGTGGGTGGGTGTGTGTGTGCGTGTGCGTGTGTGTGTGTGTGTGTGTGTGTGTGTGTGTCTTTTACTGATCATTTTCCCCTATAATGATATTGTCCTTTTAGTTATATGGGTAATTGAGGGAAATATGGTGTTCATTGTGACTGGGATGGTGAAGATGGTGGCACAACACACTAGCAAGGCAATCAAAATAAATGAAAGTGACGGATAATAATGAACGTAAGAGTCCGGTCACCCCAAGACTATATCGAGAAATTCCTTATGTGTGAAAATATAATATAATAAGTACAATATAATGGAGACATAAGAGATAAAATAGGTAAATAAATTCTAAGTATAATATAACATTGTTGCACAAGGCTGGACACCAAGGCTTCTCTGGTCCCAACTTAAACAGAATCTCTCTACCTTCTATAACCAGATAAATCATTAACAAAATTCATCTTTAATTAAAAATACTCAAAGATTTACCAATTTCTCAAGTGATTTTAAAAATAGGAAATGTTTCACAGGTGTAATATGCATGAACATATGTGCACTATTAATTACTGTACTGTACCACCATATGCGGTACCTCGTGGAGTTATTGATCGAGTTACCAGGTGAAATAAAGCAACATTAGTATTAGTGGTCGAGTAGTCCTGTACATGAACCAACCAGCCACCACCTAACAGTAACTATAGATACTGCAATCACACTATCACATAATTAATCACATAATCAATCACACTATCACATAATTAATCACATAATCAATCACACTATCACATAATTAATCACACTATCACATAATTAATCACAATCACAAAATACTTCAGCATAGGAAAGTCCATTAATTTTTTTTTTACCTCGTACAGTATTTTATTCCATTTATTTTAGGTCCCGGCATCCTTAACGTCTTTCACGGAGGTTCTATGTATCGTACCGAGTGTTAGTCTGGCTGCCAGTGTGAACATGAGCGTGGAAAACAGCCGTAAAGCATTGGTGGTGATAGTGATGATGATAGTGAGAGAGAATGATGGTGATAATGATAGAGAATGATGGTGATAATGATGATGCTATAAATGTGCTTTCAAACGCCGACAAATATTTCCAAAAACAAACACAGACTGACCTTGATGCTGCAGTAGGCTGGGTAGATGAAGCCAATCACATTACAGATGAGCTGGGCACCATACCCGAACACCAGGTACAAGCTGAGGAGCACGATGCCACCTGTGGAGAGATACATTACTGTTTTGGGTGCTCGTGCTCTCTCTCTCTCTCTCTCTCTCAACATCATATACAGGCTGCCTCAAAACATCTTTATCATCGTCTTATATGTTGTTAACTCTTTATTTCAGTGTTTAGGAAGTGTTTGATAATATACAGACCCTCCCAGAAATAATTATACAGTACAAACTACATTACCGATTATTGTGGTGATTGTAGGCTGTTTATACCCCTCAGATGATCACCAAAACAATCTGCAGTGTGTATATATATTTCTGAGAGGCTTTGTAAATCATTAAACACTGAAATAATGATGTAACAACATATGAATATCCTGTTGGGGGAATATCTTGTTTTATATCCTGTAGTGATAAGAATTCTAAAGATCTTTGTATCAACACTGTAAAAGCACACACTTATCTACTCTGGGGGACAATATATTATCTAAGACACATCCTAATGAAATACAACAACGACATTGAACCTCAGGCGTCCAGATTTAAGTCTCTAAATACTGTTACACTTCTATGACGGGGTAATGACTTTCACCGCCATCTATAAATTCCTCCCCACTGTGCGATCACCAAGAAGAAATACTGGTCTAGTGCACGCAGCCACACCCTACCATCTTGTCGATCACATGTTGACGACAAATGAACACTACCGTGGCCGCACCCTTACAGTACGAAAAGGCTCCGATCGAGTGAAATAAAGGCAATCGAGGAACATCAACAAATACTACGCAAAATTCTACATCCTCACACATCCCAAAGTTCACACACAGTCGTCGAACAATGGCTCGGATGACCTCCACACAAGCAGCTACAACACTCTGGTCTCGTCTACCCCAACACACACCGTGGTAATATATAACAAACACGACAAACTAATATTTACATTATATCTGTGTACAGTAGATAATAAAACATCGTATGGTATTTGACGAGGTTGAGTAAGACACGCGGGTAATGTGGTTGGTCGACGCTGATACACACACACCAACGTACCGTACACCTTGGCCTGTGACACGAAGGACTACAGTGGACGATGCCTTACACACTGCCTCTCTCTTACTCTACATCTACCCTGTTATCTCTCTCTCTCTCTAGTTATCTTTCATCTCTTTCTCACCTATCCTTCACTTTTTTTTTTAATCTTTCTCTCTCAGTGTGTTTATCTCTCATCTGTCTCCTCACCACAGACAAATCAACACAAAGACGTCAAACTCCTACCATACTTAACGTAAGGCCAATTCTTCTCCTTCTTGAGCTCGGATAACCTGGCGTCACTTAAAATATCCTTCAACATCCAGTCCACAATATCCAGAATCTTAAACTCCTCTTGCTGATCTTTTGTCACCGCGGTCGGCATTTTCGCCAGTTAACCGGAGGCCGAGTTACCAGAGAGTTAAAGATCCGTATACAGACACACACACACACTCCCCGGCAACTGACGGACTAAATACCAACAGTCCAACGTTTCACCCCAATACAGTGATAAGGAAAAGATAAGTTACAGATACCCGTACTCTTCAATTCCTCGGTATGTATCCGATACAGAAGAACATATTACGCAAGTTAATATATTGGAGAACGGTTATGTCGACCTCCACACAATACACAGCTACTGCACTATATCACACTATGGTTCAGTCTACCCCTAACTGATCATACATATACACAGTACTGCCACAGAATCAGACAATGTATACCACTAACCCAACACGCGATGCAATACACCCACAATAGTACTCGTATTTCAGTTTACGGTCAAAAATAATAACACACTATCGGTACGGTACTAAACAATGCAGATAATTGACCCCAACACCAATATTTACGTTACGTTATATCTGCACCGTAGATAAAAAAAATTAAAACCTAACCTAATCACAATGAATAGAAGTGATACAGGCTTCCCACACACCAAGTATTGTATCAAATTAATCTAGGCCTTTTGACATCGGTAAATTGTGTATATAGTATAGTATAAACAAAGACAAATGTATTCATAAATCCTCTATATGGTCTTTCCTTTAATAAATGTATATAACTAATAATTTATATAACCTTCGCTTGATATCTGCGACTAGTGGGGTACACGTATTCATAAACTATCAAAATGGTTTCTTTAATATACCGGCACAGCGTAAAACCAATAATTTATGTGACTTTGGTACGTGTGAGTGTATGTGTAAATATGAAAAACTCGATACAACACGACAACTCTTTGATAAACTCGTAAAAAACATTCAGATTAAACTAACGAGTAGGGAAGAAATACAATATCTTTAGATTTTAGTGGTGACTGTGTGAATATCAACATTGTCCTCACTTATGGCAAACCTCACACAATAATAAGGACAATGTTGATAATTATACAACCCTTCAGATAATCCCTATAAGGCAGTGTACAATACCAACATTGTCTATATTTAGTGCTGTACATGCAGAATGAATTTTAAACTTGTACGATAATTTTGCCATATAAATATCTATCTACATAACCATCAAGCACGTAATACATTAACCTAACCTTCACCTTATACACTAACCTAACCGTCACCATTCACCTAATACACTAACGTAACCTTCACCTCCCCTTACATAATAGCCGGCCAGTACATCACAAACACTTCGACACCAAAAGTGGTTCTCGGCCCCCAGCACAAGATAACCTTTTATAATCTCGTCCACCAAACACCCTCACCTCTTACCAATCCCTGATCTTTATGTTATCCTAGACTGGGGCCTCTTAATGTTATCTTAGGCTTATTCTTATCATTGCTTTGAGAATTAAATGCCTAGGTGTTCTTTATGTATACAAAACAGCACTGACTAACAAATTTCTATACATATGAATGATCAAAAATACTGTATTGTGTTGTATGTATTCTTGACGCAAGCTATACAAACTTTTCTGTGAATGGAAAACTTTTATTTCTCATGGAACTGTACGGTATTAAATGTTGGACAAATTTAACTAAACACGTGCAAATTTATACACTATACGCAACATGTACGTATATAAACTATAACGATGATAAATTCTTAAAACATACACATACCCCACCAGTAATTCTAACCTAACACCATCTCTCTTACATGCTTGTCCCCTCAGTAGACGACAGATACTAATTAAGTGTACAGTATTAATGACAGAGGTAGACAAAGGTAAGAGTCACCACACTACACAAGCTTTCAGTTTCATAAGTAAAACAGAACGACAAAGTAATTATGAACATCGTATGTAATTTTAGCTTTAATGGATCACTTGAAGATTAATCCCCCGCAAGTGCTCACCTGAAGATTAGCCCCCTCCCTCAAGTGCTCACCTGAAGCTTAATCCCCTCCCTCAAGTGCTTACCTGAAGATTAGTCCCCTCCCTCAAGTGCTTACCCGAGTAACCCCCCCTCCCCCCCACCCAAAGCCTAACCACCTCAAAACTATCTGGTGGACGGTGGGAAGGAACAGGAGGAGCTTATCTTGAGGTGATCTACAGGGTTAAAATTATGACCGGTCTCTGATAAAGAAAGAAAGAATATCACTGAACTTTTAATGCTCCTCCTCGTGACTATCTCAACACAGGAAGACCTTGCGACCTTTACTAGATTAAATTATCACAGCAGCTCTGGCAATGTTGTGCTTCGACTGCATCCTGGCCAGCTTGCCTGTCTACCTCCCTCACAACCAACCTACCTCCTTGTTTCCCTCCCAGCTTGCCTGTCTACCTCCCTCACAACCAACCTACCTCCTTGTTTCCCTCCCTGCTTGCCTGTCTACCTCCCTCACAACCAACCTACCTCCCTAACTAGTACATACTATTTTATACTATCACTATCTGCTGCCATTGTCCACTATACTTAAGGCTTAATATGCCCCGATATACCTGAATATTTCTCATGCTGATAACACAATGACGACAGATGTGTTTTGTTACTAACTGCGAGACGAGACACTGGACCGGCAACAAATACTGAAGCATATATCGTATACAGTACTGTACAGCAGTCAACACCAACGGAAAATTATGGAGTGTTGATTCTTACCATCCTGGACTGTAGTGTGAAAAGATCTTATAACTAACAAATGTATATAAATATTTGTACAATCTATATAAACACAGTACTATACTATATAAATATATATATATAAATTAAAGAAAACATACATTGTACAAGTGAATATAATTATGAATAAACTATCAAAATGTTTAATGGTATATATAAATAAAATTGAATAAAAATACTATAAATATAAATAAATATCCTACAATACCCAGAATCGATTACCACAACAGTTAAGTATCAAGAAAGGTTAAATAAAATACTTGTATGAGTAAGGGATTGCAGCACACACCACAATGCCACCCAGAGATAACTCATGTATTCTTCCACCTCCCTATCTTACTATCAGTTACGTGAGGGCGGGGGAGGGGGCAAAGTTTACAGCTCGATCCCCTGAACCTCTGACATCTAGACCCCACCAATATTGTAGGGCTGTTAGATACATCTCTCTTGTTGAACGTCCGAGAGAGAATTTTAACGCAGAAATGTTCCGAGCTGTAACGCCCATCTCTCCACCACAAGGAAACCCATCGCCCCAACACACCTCCTTCCTCCTCCACCACAATAAACGACTCTCCACCAATACCTTCACTTCACAACAAAACACCAATGAATTTTGTTTTTTTCTTAATACAGTACGCGATAATTCTCACAATATTTGTCGCCCTGGAGCCAGTCGAAGGGGAACATTGCTTGATGTTTAGCTCCCCCCAACCTTGTGGTGATCCCTGGCAGCGGTCCACAGTCTGGCTAACTCGGTAGAGATAGTTATAAAATGCTAAACACTATTCCTGCTAGGTAACATGATGCTGCTTATGGATACTGGTACAATACTGTGTTTAACCTAGTCTCCTGTAGGTGACCTGTAGTCTATTTAACCCAGTTTTATGTGACCTGTAGAGCATTTAACCCAAACTAACTCCTCCAGGTAAAATCATTTAATCAAGTGAAATAAACTGGAGTTAACATACAGGAGATATTTTAACACCCCTTAATTAGCCTGAGAGACAAGACAGGGTACGTTAATTAAACCCTTTACATTATATACCTGACAGGTGGCATATGACCCTAACAGCCCTATTAACAGTTCCCTCCATGTCAGGTCAGAGGTAATGTCCCTAGGGTCTCGTAGGTCACAAGGTGGCTGGTGCTGGGATGTGGCTGCTCGAATACGCAACGGGGGATTGTTTTTGTTTTTTCATTGGGGTGTTGACTTGAGCTATTCAAGGAATTAATGTGGTTTATGAGGTGTGTGAGGGACAGACAGACAGACAGGAGAGAGCGGGAGGGAGGGAGACAGGACAGTGGCAGGTGATAAAAGATAAGAGAGGAGAATGAAAAAAAGAAAGAATATATACAGAAGAGAGAGACAGACAAGAGAAAGAAAGACAGAGATAGGACAGAGAAGAGACAGGAGAGAGAAATCCACCCTTTGCTCTACAATGGTCTTGACTCACTTAATGAAAGCTGGAATTACTGTCACAAAAAGATGGCATGACTGTGTGTGTGTGCATATGTGTGTGTGTGTGTGTGTGTGTGTGTGTGTGTGTGTGTGTGCATGCGTGCATGCTTTTGTGTATGTGTGTGTGTGCATGCATACTTTTATGTATGTATGTATGTATGCATGTGTGTGTGTATGTATGTGTTACATACAACAGTTTGACTATACTGTATATGCATTGTACTAACCCCTTGAGTATGATGATTTAACCCCTGAGTGCTGAAAGAGTTGAATCATCATACTCAAGGGGTTAAATCATCATACTTACTACAAAATATTACAATAAAACCCTATAATGTGTACGTCTGTATTTGTAATGTTCTAAAGTCAATACAAAATAACCAACACTATACAACACAACACAACAGTATAACCAAACCCAACCACATCCCACAGTGAATCATAAGACCCATACACCTAGCTGCTCCCAAAACTCCCCCTTCATGACACGACACCCACACTGCATGACACTTGAGGCTGATGACACTCTCCCATTAATATGTTAAGACCACCACACAACCAGTACCCAAGGTCATGGCAAGGAGGAGGGGGGGAGGGGGGTGTTGCCATGTGTGTGTGTGTGTGTGTGTGTGTGTGTTGCCTTGATACCATTCTCGACAGTGTTTGTATCTGGGAAATGTACCTAAAGATGCCAAAAGCTACTACCTACTGTGTATCTTGGTCAATTATCATTTTTACCATGTTAACCTACCATAATTCTACCATAATCTAATCTACCACTATTCTTGTTATAGCAGTACACACCTCCACTAATTCATCTACCACCACTATCCTATCTACCAGTATCCACACCCCACTAATAATTCATCTACCACCACTACCATTAACCAACATCATATACCACTACCAACCACCAATAACTTTATCTACAACC